ATTTCGAGTTTAAAGTCGAAATTTCGAGATTAAAGTCGAAATTTCGAGATTAAAGTCGAAATTTCGAGATTAAAGTCGAAATTTCGAGAATAAAGTCGAAATTTCGAGTTTAAAGTCGAAATTTCGAGATTAAAGTCGAAATTTCGAGATTAAAGTCGAAATTTCGAGAATAAAGTCGAAATTTCGAGATTAAAGTCGAAATTTCGAGATTAAAGTTGGAATTTCGATTTTAAAGTCGAAATAAAAAAAAATTATATTATGTGGCCCTTCTACGCCTTCGTAGTGGAGTAATGCTGTTGGAAGACGATTTCGAGATCTTCATGTCATAGGGAAGCTCGCAAACTGGGATTTGGGACTTACAAAGTAAGTTTATAATAATAAAAACAATAAAAAAAACATGGATTGAAGACATTAAAACAATCAAATATGTTTGCTTAAAATTGATAATATTGTTACAGGTTAAAGAAAAACCACTACTACCTGCGAAACAGAAAAAAATCGATTAAGACGGACAAAAGAACATATGAGTTGGACTTCTCATCAATGGGATGCAATACAATGGAGTGACGAGGCCCGATTCGAAGTTTGTGTTGGAGATAGCAGAAGTCGAGTTATTCGCAAAAAACATGAAGCGTTCCATCCAGATTGTCTCAAAAGAAAAGTAAAATTTCCCGCATCGCTCATGGGCTGGGGCAGCATGTCATCTAAAGGAATAGGGAAACTGCAGTTTACTGAAAGAATTGTAAATACAAATAAATATTTGGACATTTTGGAGGAATCACTTTTACCGACTATGGAATTATATTTGACATCAGGGAAAGATTTTGTATTTCAACAGGATGGAGCAGGGTATCACACGTCAAAAAAAGCTCTAAAATGGATGGAAGAGTTCGGTGTTCCACTTTGGGAATGGGTTTCTAGTAGTCCTGATTTATCACCAATAGAAACGTTGTGGCATGAGATGAAAAAGGTACTTCGAAAACATCCTGCAAGAACAATACCTGAACTTAAACAAAAACTTCAAGATATATGGGACTCGTTTACACCAGAATTTTGCCAAGGCTTAGTTAATACCATGCCGCAAAGAATTTCAGCTGTAATAAAAAAATAAAGGTGACGTTACTCAATGGTAAACTTTAAAATTGATTAACGTTTGATTCCAACTATTTGTTTATTTTTTTTTAATTTTATGTTAAATAAATATTTTAATGTTTTCTACATATTTTTTGTGATTAAACGATATTAAACATATTGTTCAACGAATAAAAATTGGTCAGTTCATGCAATATTTATATTTTTAATCTTTAAATACGAATTTCCTAAATTTCAATAGGTGGGCCAACTGAAATGGGAAGGGGCTCGTATATGCGGACCAAAAGATAATTCTCTATCGAACGTAACACCTGAATCTGTAATAGTAATTGGTCTTTGGAGGATTGTGTTGTTAATGATGTAATCAAATATTATAGGATTAGCACTAAGACCATATGACATGACAAAACATTTCGCGGCATTAAGCGATAAATTGTTTCTCAGATATCAGTATTCAACTATATCAATATTAGCTTGAAGGCGTTCGTAGTGGGATCTGTGAGCAATAGTCAAACACAATTTTAGATCGTCAGCATATAACATACAATTAACATCGATTATATCAGTGATATCGTTAATAAATAATATAAATAATAAAGGGCCCAGGTTCGAACCCTGTGGCACTTCTGATTTTGCGATATACTCAACTAACATACTGTTTACGGCTTTGAAGATAAGATGTAAATAGTTTTAGGAGGGAATCATGAAATCCGAATAATTTTAATTTAGTGAGCAAGGTTCCGTGATCTAATGTGTCAAACGCCTTAGAAAAATCTGTGTATACGACGTCCGTTTGCTTTTTACCGTCAATATTCTTGGCAATGATTTGTGTTACGTTAACAAGATTAGTTAGCGTTGAACGTTGTTGTACAAAACCATGTTGATGCGATGAAATTTTAGCGCTGACGTGCAAATTAATATCTCGATACAATAAAACCTCGAACACCTTCGAAAAGTTACAAATTACAAATATTGGTCTATAATTGGTTACATCATTCCTATCTCCCTTTTTGAATATAGGACACACTTTCGATGTCTTCCACATATCTGGAAAGGTAGATGTTTTAAGACATATATTTAACAACACCATTAGAGGATGAGCAAGGGCATGTGCACAGTCTTTAATTAGAAAAGCCGGAATATCATCAGGACCTCTAGTTTTCTTTGCTTTTACTTTCTTTAAAGCATACAGTACGTCTTTTTCACTGAAACTGTTAATAGAAAGACAAGTATATTGTTGTGTATCATCAGCTGTAAAATATGGGTCCGACGAATGAATGAACGATTGTTGAAAGTTATCGGCAAAACCATTTACAATAGAATTAGGATTATCTAAAATAATAATATTATAACTCATATTATTAGGTACGGAATTAAAAGCCTTCGTCCTATTCAAAAAAGCCCAGAAACTAGAAGGATTCGTGGTAATATTTGATTCTGCAGACCTAACAAATTCTTTATAAGACTTATCTACATCTAGTTTGATGTGAGCCCTTAACCTTGCAAACGCTATGTATGCAGAGGGGTTATAGTAAAGACAGTAACTTTCAAAGATAGTTCTTGAACTTTTTATTTTTTTAATCTTTGATTTTAGGTACTGAAGTGTTACTTTTAATGCCAAGTGATTAAAAGAAAATTTTAATTCCATTGACAACATATAATCATCCTTGTTATTTATTGGTTAAATTTAATTCGTTCAAAGTTAAAGTGCAACAATTTTTTCAAAAGCGTAAGGTTTATTTTTATTGTTTGTAAATAATATAACTTTTTTTAGTGCGTGTATACCATTTTATATGCCGTGACCTTATTTATGTTATAGAATCTTATTTTGCAAAGTACGTCTATGGAATGTGACGGTATATCCCCACTTTTACTGCACTATAACAACATGAAATAGGTTGCTATGGAAATATAAGTAATATATATTTTTTGAATCAAGAATATACGATTATATACCGAGTTAGCTAGCTGAAATTGGACGTTATGATTGACTGAAAATCATACGAGAAAATATTCAAAGATATTATATTTTTATAGCTGATTTCTAGTAGTTGCACCCTGTAAAGAAGCTAAACAACTTATTTTAAATTATCTACCTGTTACGCATTCCGCTCACGAAAGAACAATAAATTCTAAATTGCCTCTTAATATAATTGATAATGAAAATCCTTAGCCCAGTAATAGATAGCCTTTTATACGTCGGTGAATTGTTGTGCCTTTTGTCGACTCTAAACTCAATTCACTTAACAGATTTAGGAGAACCTCTTCAGCTTTTACTTGACACCACTTTGAAAGATTGCTACTTTACTTTCTTTTTCGCTACATTGTATTTATCGACGTCGGAATCAATCGGTTTCTTTTGATCGACGAAATTTATGTAAATAAAAGTAATGAAATTAGTTCTTGTGAAGTTTTTGAGTAGTTTTTAATCAAATCAACGACCTTTTTTGCGAAGTGAAAATGAAAGAACACATTTCGGATCTAAAAGGATCTATTGAAATTAGTCGGAACACGAAATATTTTTCCAGTCGGTGAATTTGGGTTACATCTTAACAGAATACAAAAATTACAATAAAGAGGCAGAAAACATCATTTTTTTCTACATTTTTCAAATTCACCAAACTGAAAGTGTCACCTGGAAACTACAGGTTAGACGTATTACCGTGTTTCACTAGAATCTAGAACAAACATTTTTACGTCGAGTTTTTTAATTTAACCAACAGATATTTGGTTAAATCTTTGACAGCAACCTTATATGTATACGAATATTAGCGTAAATTCAAGTAAATTTAAGTAAATTTAAGTAAATTTAAGTAAATTTAAGTAAATTTAAGTAAATTTAAGTAAATTTAAGTAAATTTAAGTAAATTTAAGTAAATTTAAGTAAATTTAAGTAAATTTAAGTAAATTTAAGTAAATTTAAGTAAATTTAAGTAAATTTAAGTAAATTTAAGTAAATTTAAGTAAATTTAAGTAAATTTAAGTAAATTTAAGTAAATTTAAGTAAATTTATGTAAATTTAAGTAAATTTAAGTAAATTTAAGTAAATTTAAGTAAATTTAAGTAAATTTAAGTAAATTTAGGTAAATTTAAGTAAATTTAAGTAAATTTAAGTAAATTTAAGTAAATTTAAGTAAATTTAAGTAAATTTAAGTAAATTTAAGTAAATTTAAGTAAATTTAAGTAAATTTAAGTAAATTTAAGTAAATTTAAGTAAATTTAAGTAAATTTAAGTAAATTTAAGTAAATTTAAGTAAATTTAAGTAAATTTAAGTAAATTTAAGTAAGTAAATTTAAGTAAATTGTAGTAAATTTAAGTAAATTTAAGTAAATTTAAGTAAATTTAAGTAAATTTAAGTAAATTTAAGTAAATTTAAGTAAATTTAAGTAAATTTAAGTAAATTTAAGTAAATTTAAGTAAATTTAAGTAAATTTAAGTAAATTTAAGTAAATTTAAGTAAATTTAAGTAAATTTAAGTAAATTTAAGTAAATTTAAGCAAATTTAAGTAAATTTAAGTAAATTTAAGTAAATTTAAGTAAAATTAAGTAAATTTAAGTAAATTTAAGTAAATTTAAGTAAATTTAAGTAAATTTAAGTAAGTAAATTTAAGTAAATTGTAGTAAATTTAAGTATACTTAATTTAAATTAAGTAAATTTTAGTATGTTTAGTTACATTTAAGTAAAGTTAAGCAAATAAAAGAAAATTTAGGCAAATTTATGAATATTTAAGTCTATTTATGAATATTTAAATATATTTAGGAATAATTTAGAAAATTTAAGATTATTACAGAAGGTTTTGAGAAATTTTCAGAAAATATTACAGAGCTATTCTTTTAGCACAGCATTGCTGTGCTTTTAGCAAAGTGCTTCATTTTTAAATAAATTGGGACACATTTTAGTACTCACCTCGGGGTGTGTTTAAAATATCTGGTGACGAAGACATGGTGGTGAATTGTGTAGCAGGAGTGCAGTCACTTGCTGGTTTCAATGTATAGGCCAACACGTATCTGCTGTCACCCGTATTTATTTCCAACAGAGAACTTTGCCTAGATTTGACTTTTTGTTTGGAAGCATCTGAAAATAAAGTTAGGTTAAACTTTCTGGTCATACTACATTAAATATAGAAATAGTTTTGCTATGCTATGACGAAACATGAATATTTAACATTTTTAATTAAATACAATTTAATTTTGTCGCTTTGTTCCTTATCTGCATCATAGAGTAGATTTCCTAAAGAGAGGAGAAGTTAAAACCATATTCTTTCTTTGAAGGCAGAACTGGGATAAATAGTGACTCAAAATGTTAAATAAGGCTTCTCTTATTCTTTTATGGCTGTTTATTATACTTACCAATATTAATATGATGCGGGCAGTGCATTTCCCCATCACACGTTCTTTTTCTTCTAACAGCTATAACTACTATCAGTAGAACTGCTAAACCCAGTGTAAGAAGAGATCCGGTTAATATAGCAGCTAAGGGAACTAGGCTCACATTGTTGTTGCCATCTGTAACCGTAAAACATATAATTAGGTCAAAAATTTTCAAGACGAAAGTAGGTACTTTCCAAAGTAATGATCGCTTTTGTAAAGCATACATTGGCCGCAATAATTAAATACGAATTTATATTACCTGTCCTCTTTTCAGCATCATTAAGTAATATATCATCCATCACAACTTTTTCACTTTTGCCCTTGGCATTTTCAGCATAAAGTATTATTCGTATCGAGGCTGGAGATGGTAACAGCTCTCCCAATTCCAATCGAAAGATTGGAATATCTGTATCTACTATACTTTGGTTCAGTCTTAGTCGCATGTTGTGTGTATCATACGCTTCTAAAACAAAGCGTTGAGGAAGACCTCCGTCATAGCCAGCTCTGCATTCTACTTCAATTGTTTCAGATGTTTGGTTGTTAATTGTTCGAAGGGTGCAGTTTGTTAGGGAACTAGGTTTTGATGCCGGAACCACCTAGAAAAGCCATTATTTTACTGAATCAGCTAATACATTAACTTCTAAATAATATATAAGTAATATAACTTAATATTATTACAATTATTGATTTTAACTACATATCCAACGTACCTGGAAGACGCAAGGTTCTACTTGTTTCCCGATAGAATTGGTACCAAGACATGTTAACGTCCCGTAATCCCTCTGAGAGGCAGGAGTATACATCAATTCACTGACGTTCCCGCTGGATGTTGCGAAACGGGCAGGAGACACGTCAAAGCTTTCGCCACTGTTATTGAATTGCCACAGAAAATCAACATCGGTAGGATCTGCTGATACTTGGCATCTGACTTTGATCATTTCGTCCAAAGATGCTCCAATGATTGTGATATCAGTGTCTTTGCTGCATACAGGTGCGACTGAAAAATCAAATTAAATTCGTATTCAAAAGTACTTACTATATATTGACCATATTGTCAGAAATCCCAAATGAAATAATTGTATGCCTTAGTTTTTTTGAAGAAATTAAATTGAATCAAATAAAATTATTTTATTTTACATGACATACATAATAATTAAATAATTTAAAAACGATTTTAAAATTATGCCAATATAGGCACAAACAGTAAACGAAATTATATTTAACTTAAAAACATGAAAAGGGATGTCAGGTCATCAACTACATAGATTTGTGAACTACGAAAATAAGACTATCGAATTAACTAAGATTTGTGAAGGGGGAGTTGTTGGCTGGAGAGTCGAGAATGTAGACTCCATATGCAGGCTACATTATAGTAATAATAGTAAAAAGTTCTAAGAGTAATTAGCAATAATATTAATAGATCGAAATATTTTGGGAACTTGTGACATGCCCCTAGCTAAATAAAATGTGGTAAGTTTCAACTAAATGTTCCTAAATTAGTGAGTTACTCATCCCCTTGTAATAGTATTGACTGAAGTGTGACTAATAATAAATTATATATTTTTATGTATTTTGTATTATTTTACAACGCCGAAACTTAGTAAAAAACAAGTTCGAGACAACATTATGGAGTAAAGTACGACAAAAAGAAAAGAATTGAGTGAACGAAGAGGATGATGGTAAAAAGTGAAAAAGAAAAATAATTAAGTATTTTTTTTCAAAAATAAAGAACTAGGAAGGTATTTTTAAACAAGTTATTTTTCACTTTAAATTAAAAAATCAACTTACATCTAACTCTTAGGTTGACAGGATCACTGATAGTCTCTCCCCTGGGATTGGCAGCCAAACAAGTGTAAGAACCACTCTGCCATCTTGCTACTTTTTGAAGAACCAAACTGTGAGTACTGATGATGATTCCTGATGACATGTTTTGATTCACGATGTTACCCTGAAAATAATTAAATAATATTACATCTAACTCATTTTAAATAATATATGAATTCCTATGAAATGATAGAAAAATTAGTTTTATAAAAATAGAAATGTTTTAATATTCTATAAAGTATTTTGAAGTCAGATATCTTTAAATTTATTTGGGTGAAATGATATTTAGATATTTATATACAATTAAAAAATAAAGAGGACCCCGAACAGATTCCTGAGGGATTCCTGCCAACACCGAAATCGATGGGCTGTGATTATCGTTTAATTTCACGAGGTGCATGTGTGATCGCTAAGCCATATGGCAAAAATGGGACGAATACTCGTACTAATTTTCATTAGGGAAATTATTTGTTTCATTTTAAATAATTTAATAAAACAAAATCATTGTGTTGTTCTAAAGCACAAAACTTACTTTTCTTTGTACATAAGACAGTTTTTTGCCATGCTGTTATAATAGGACCTACAAATAAAAGCAATGCCAGCAAAGCGACCAATACAAAACGTTGACTGACGCATTAAGTAAAATAAATATAATACACTTTTGGACGGAAATGGATAAAGAGAGTGATTTGTTAAACAACACCCTTTCGACAGCAAGACTGGGATATTGCGGTCTGAAGTTGGCGACGTATTATTTACTCTACTTATCTCTATTCAATAGTATTGTATTTCTATACCGTTCTCCTGGAGTCAGAATTAAAAAGTTAACATATTTTATAAGTATGCAAGTAGTACCTACCTATAATAGCGAAAAGGTTAATAAACAACTTGATATTACCGTAGTATGAGCTTTGATATTCCTGGTGCGAAAAAGAAGATGATACCATCGATCTTACGATTGCCCGACAATATCATTTATTAGAAGATTTGTGTTTGGCGAGTTTTGGGTAACACCGGCCGATATAAGAGAAGCACCTCTCGGTGACGTTGTCAACTATATTAAATATGTAGGCTGACTGATGAGCTAAGAGAGGCCTATGAATTTAGGAGGATGCACAATGGGCCTAGTAAGGCCCAAGTGCTGTGGGGGCAGTAAACCCTACACTCGATTTAAATACAGAATTGCATTTGAAATCTACACATAAGGTTCAAAATAATCAGCGTCAAATTTAGTAAGTACTCAAGTGCGGATACAAAGGGGTGTAAAAGGGTAATGACCTCCACCAAGCTGCTCAAAGCAAAACTGAAATTTATTAAATTGTACGAGTAACTTCGAGATTTTAGGAGAAAGTAAAAAACAAAACGGCAGCGACCAAAAAGATTATTAACCCCCCCCCCCCTCCCCCGAAAAGTCTTTCCAGATCCCCGCCTGTATGTATTTACTATGGGATTTAATTTTCTGGGGTCTTAACACGCTAATATTCATTATTTTGCATATCTGTATACCAGAAAGTGAAATAGGTTTAGTAGTCCCCAAAGATAACAGGAGATATGGCTATTCATTGATAAAATATAATATTGGTGCGGCCAACATCGACACCACACTCGATACCGTCCAGTTGGAGATGAGGAGTGAAGAGAAATGTGGTGAGAGGTAAGAGAGGGGATAAACAGAAGGATTTTACGGCGATACAAAACAATTTTATCAATAATTATATGTGTTATCTCTTGTTGTCCCTATGAGACGCACATTTTTAAAATAAATTCAGAACTTAATTTCTTGTTTCCATTATTTTCAATCCATCTAATTCCATAGTAAAGTTGAGTAATTTGTTCATTAATATTTTTTATGTCTGTATTAAATGTCTTGATGCGATACAAAACCGATTAAACATGAATGTATATGGATGCAGGCGACCGTTCTGTAACTATTTGAGCTTTGTTTGAATCCAAATAGAACAGACCTATAGTTTAATATAAACGATTAAGTAGATGTTTTACTAACAAAATTAGTGGTTTGCGCAGCAACTATTTTTTTTTTCGATGTTGACTGTGCCGAGAATTGATTCCCCAGAAGCTCAAAAGCCCAATTATTACGAGAATGAGGAAATAATAGCTTGACCTTTCCTTGTGAATAGGTTCGTCGACTGGAAAAGCTTAAACAAATACAAATTAAACCACTCATACATATAATTTAGGGCCCAAATTATCCAGAATCTGGCAATGATCGTTAGATCCAACTAACAAAGCTGTACTTAACACATTAGCTCCCATGTGTACCATATTTGGGTACAGTGAGATTTTCATTTAAACTACGTGTATCATAATTGACCGCAAGACACTGTTACGTTCCAATCGTTGGGTACTACATAGGATTGCAGATATACTCAAAGCTGTACAATGTGGATTCTGGTAAACATTTATTACTTATAGATAGGTTTCGTATTCCTGGAATGTATAAAGAGTTATAGGTTGGGATAGCGGAATAGTGATGAACTGTAATTTTTCAGTTTAGTCAGTTATATACTTCATGTTATAAACAACAGTACTCTAGCAGGTATGGAAGAAATAATGCTATGCAAAACGCCAAGAGGGTAAAAACACGATGTTCTGGACCACAGTCTGCGTTCTGGACGTTCCCCTAACAGTGGTTTTATGTGTTCCAAAAGCTTCTATGATTCTCACACTACGAAAATAACTGATTGACTTTTTATTTTATTCTTTTGTTTGATACTTTGTTGGTGTTCAAGATGTTTCACTAAGGATATAAATAATTATTTATTTATATTTATTTCTAGCGTACACCTGGGTTTATATGAATCTAAAGTATTTTCAGCCAACCGTGTGAACCATAGTTTGCCTCACCTGCTATAAAAAAAATTTATTTCTAGAAAAAATATGATCATATTATTGTTTTAAAACCTAACATACATTCATTTGTACAAAAAAATGTCGTGGGTTACTACAATACTTTTTGATATATACTCTCGGAGCTAAAATTAATAATAAAATTCAGAAGCATAGAAGAGACATCCAGAAGCTTAAAGAAGAATAAATACATTTTTATTCACTTTGGAAGGAAATACCTTGGTAGGACACCAGAGTTACATGAAAAGAGCATGTTGTAAAGAAAAGAACCGAATTAGACAATAATTACAGACAATACTATTGGCTGATTGGAAAAAATTCTAAACTTTCAATTTTCAACAAAATATTAATATACAGGGTGATTAATAATTATTGGGACATAGGCTAAGGGCAGGGTTATTTGATATCTTTGGTTATTTGGACCAAAATATGGCGATAGGACCAAATATAAATTAATAAAATATTGCTGTAGAATAATATACACGGCGTTAAAGTTGTTTTTTATAATCGCAGCAAAAATAATTCACTGACAAGAAATGACATTTACCGGATACAATTATCTGACAGTCCAAAGCACACTTTTCATAAATAAAATAATATTTTTTTAATATTCCCTTCTGACACTCTGAACTGTTCAATTGCGTTTTTTCCGAAAACGAGTGAAATTATCGTGTTTAAACAAAAGTACCAATATTACGTAAAAATGACGTTTACGTCATATTTTTTAATCAAAAACACTAAAAAGTTTCGTTTAAAAAAGCTACCATATAATTTCATCATCAGGAATCATTCACGTGGCGCTTCTATATCAAAATGTGCAATAATTCATAAAATATTATTTCTTATCCAAAGCTATGCCTCTGTGCTGATTTTGAAAACAATTCATAAATATACAGTGACATAATAAGAAAACGAAAAAAAAAACAACTTTAGCGCCATCGCCTATCGCCTTATTTTGATCTAAATAACCTGCCATTAGCCTTTGTCCCAATAGTTATGAATGACTCTGTACAATTATACAATCAAATTTTTACCCTTTTGGGCAGTTCAAATACCTACCTGTCAAAAAATAGCTACCCGAGGGCAGGGCTGGTATATAGGTATTTCGATATAGCCCTTCCATCTTGGACTCTATTTTTATTGTATAAATGTATGAGCGTTTTTTTTAAATGACATTGTAATGGTGTTGCTAGCTAAAACTGACCACCAATTCCCCGTAGCCTCAGTGACCGCTTCATAAATTTACTGGATCTATGTTGCAACCACTTAGATCAGTGGTCGCCAACCTCTCAATGTGTTCAGCTACTTTGTTAATTTTGGAATAAACAGCGAGCTACCCACACGGAAGCCACGTAACGCAACGTAAATGAAATAATCCACAGTTAATTTATCATGTATCATGTATTTATTTTACTATTTAACTGGTAATACATAACACATATGTACTAATAATAAACTAATAACAAAATAACTAATATTACTAGTACGTACTTGTTCATAGCTACATTCCTACCTACCAAACGAAGGTGTTTGAAAAATAAACACAAACTTTTATCCAGCCACAACGGCATGTCACGTAAGATTTAAAAATAGTTAATAATAACAACAAAAAAGTAACGCACTATCATGAACATAAACAATGAAAAATAAAAAAGCACGTTCAATGAGAAGGCTGACACTCAGACTCATCGATAATTTTTTTAATGTTTGCAGTATATTTTGATACAGCCATTCGAATACAATTATCCAAATGTTCATCTGTAAGACGATTGCGATATTTGTTCTTAATAAACTTCATATTGGAAAAAGAAGATTTACACAAATAGGTTGAACTGAATAATGCTTTCACTTTCAAGGCAACACGGCATAGAACTGAATATTTGTCATTACTTACAATAGGCCAGATACATTTGGTACTTGAGACTAACGATTTTAAGGCTAAATCATTTTGAAACTCAATTACTTCCATTTCTGTTGCAGTGATGTCTTCGCCAAAGTTCTGCATAACACAAGTTGCAAACTGTTGGATATCAATTTCCATAAAGGGTGAAACAACAAACTGCGCTACTAAAGACATTTCGTTGAAATCCTTAAAACGATTTTTGAAGTTATTCTTCAGGGTAGAAACTATTTCTACATGATATTTGCTGTCATAGGGTTCTAATGGATTTTGAGATATTTTTTCTGAAAGAATAGGAAAATGCTTGGCATCGCTGTTAATTAGGTTTTGTTCCCAAAACTCCAGCTTTTTGATAA